AAGGGAACTACGACTCCCAGCAGGCCGCGCTCGAGCGGCCGAGCCAATGGGATGGCGGCAGATGAGGGGGGAAGGGAGGGAGGGAGCGAGGAGGAGAGGGGGGGAAAGACTACGCTTCCCAGCGGGCTTTGCGGGACGGAAAGGCCGGGCGATGACTTCATTCGTGGGGTTAGGAAGAGGAGAGGGGACTCGTAAAAAGCGGGCGGAGCCGCGGACTACATTTCCCAGGAGGCCTTTGGGAGCGGGCCGGGCCAGGAAAGCGTCAGGAGGATGGTCTGGGCGAAATAGAGTCGGGCGAAAGCATGAAGCTGGTGAGTGTGTTGGTCCTGGGGGGGGGAAGGGTTGGGATAGACTTGGTAGGGGAAGGATATGAGGGGGACACCCCATTTCACCCCACTTACCACTTAGGGGGAGGTGGGCTGTAGCTCTTTGACCCAATTTGGGTGAGGAATTTGCATTTGAGCAAGATTAATTCCTTAAATGGCATTCTTTCTCCTCCTCCTTTCCCCCCCCTTCTTTTCCATCCCTCAGGGGTCAAGGGATCAAAAGCCCTGTTTCGTCCCCCCAATATTCTCCACACACACACACCCATTTAAACAGAAACCACATTTTAATCCAGCCATGAACAGGTATCGATCCCTCATGCCAAGGAAGAGTTTCATGGATTGTTAAAAGTTTCAGCTCCTCATGGATTTTGATGGCTCTGCAGTGTTTTTGTTTTTTTGGCCTTGAAAGCCAAGGAAAGGGTGGAAGGCTGTGTTTTTTGAGCATGCACAGAGTGCTTTAGGGGTCTCCCTGCAAAACCACATCTTGTTTTTTGTGTACCAGTATCTTTGGCCCAGAAACCCACTCACCTTTTTTTTTTTGTTAAGAAAAAGCTGTTGTCTTGGAAAAGGGCTCGTCTTCCGTGTTATGTCCTATTCTTACTACCTAACGTTTCTTTTTTTTAAAAAAACCTCATTTGTTTCAAATGTCACCCCATGGAGGAGAGCTTTTTTTTTGAATATCCATGATGGCCAGAATGACAAAAGAAGTAGGTCCCAGAGCAAATAAAACTCTAAAATGATCTCTGGAGGCCAAAATGTTGAAACCGAGGCTGTCCTACTTTGGACATGTCCTGAGAAGGCAGGATTCTTTTGGAAAAGACCCTCATGCTGGGAAAGGTGGAAAGGCAGCAGGAAAAGAGGAAGACCCAATAATGCAAGATGGACGGACTCCCTAAAGGAAGGCACAAGGCTTGAGTTTACAAGAACAGGGCAGTTGAGGGCAGGACATTTTGGAGATCGCTCGTTAATGGGGTCGACATAATTTGAAGGCGATGTGACGGCACATCAGAACATTTTTCTGATGAGGCAAACAGCTGTTAGGTCCTGCGCAGAGGTAGCAAGGTAGCCTCTGCTCACCCCCCCAAAAAAAAGCCATAATAATTTTTCAGGTGTCAGCACAGGGTTCTCTGTTGTTGTCCCTGTTGTGTTTTATCTGCATTGTTAAGTCTCAGGGTGGTTTTGGCTCGGCTTTTCGTTCCAAAGATCTAAACCGGGCTGGGCCATCTTCTCATTCTTAAAGCTTGTAGCAAAGGGAAGAGAAGCTGCCTGTGAGCGAACTTGTCTTTCACACGGAGAGATTCAAAGAGAGAATGGGTGCCACAGGAAGGTCAATCTTCATGTTCTTCCCAAGCCTTCCGGAAAAACGGAGCGGCCAGCTTTTGAGGAGCAGCCTCGGCAGCACCTGTCGGCAGAGCAAAATTTTGTGGCAGTTTCTTGAACACCCTGATGGGCCATTCTGAAGGCTTGCTTGTGATTGCTTACAGCGCGTTCAAACAACAATGCGATGTCAAAATTTCATCCACTCACAACCCAGCCGGACCTCTCTGTGACAGACAGGAGTGATGACATGGGTCAGTGAAGTGTGAGCAGCCACCCGTATACATCCACCCCTTTCCTTTTTCCTTTAGAGGTGGTTACAGATGTCCAGAGGGCATGAAAAGCAAATAAGCTTCAATGGAGTCCTAACAAGCAACAGGGGACCTGGTGGCGCTGTGGGTTAAACCGCAGAAGCCTCTGTGCTGCAGGGTCAGAAGACCAGCCGTCGTAAGATCGAATCCACGTGACGGAGGGAGCTTCCGTCGCTTGTCCCAGCTCCTGCCAACCTAGCCGGTCGAAAGCATATAAATGCATGTCGATAAACAGGCACCACCTCTGTGGGAAGGTCACGGTGTTCCGTGTGTAGTCGTGCTGGCCACGTGACCACGGAAACTATCTTCGGACAAACGCTGGCTCTATGGCTTGGAGTCGGGGATGAGCACCGCGCTCTAGAATCGGACACAACTGGACTAAATGTCAAGGGAAACCTTTACCTAGCAAGCATTATTTGCTGTCTGAATAAAGAGGGGGAGACACAGAGAAAGAGAGCAAAAGAAAAAGTTGTTAGTCCAGAGGGCCATACATTGGAAGCAGGAGACCCTCTCACCTTTGTATACTGATTTTTCCATACTGATTTTTATAAAATTGACATGCTCACCTTTACAGCAGGCACGAAGAACTTTGTGCCTCAAAGTGTTTTGGACATTTAACTCCTCAAATGCCCACCCAAATGGCAAGAGCTGCAGTTATAGCTAGTTATGATGATGATCAGGAGAGTCAAAAATTCCCTGACCTTACAGTGCAGGTTCTACAGACCGTTTCAACTTCAAACTAGCCCCGATCTAAGTGTGTAAAGTTGTTCTTTGTGTTAACTCTCAGCCTGTTTGTATCTTGGAGATTCTCTTGCATGTACACAAACGGGTTTTGCTCTCCCACACTTAGTGATTACGATTTAATAGGGTGGCAGAGTGGAAATCCTCGAGAGCCATCTGGTAAGTGCTAAGAGAACTCAGGCTTGGCATCGCGCTTCCTAATTTCCGTCTCGAACGGCGGGTAATTCTTTACCACTTAGTGTCAGCGCACGATCTATCTGCCCGTTGATAGCTCTTAAGTGGCAGCATGAATATGCCCCTTCCTTCAGGAGGTGCCAATGCATCCAACTGTAGAAAGGGTAGAAGCAAATTCTTACTCTTTCTTTCCTGGCTCCATCCACCAAGCGAAGGTCTGGGTGGCAGAGGTTAAGATGGTGCATCTCGGCCTCAACAGTTATCGTTGATGGGAGCTGGCGAGCCCACTCTGCTCAGGATGATTCTTTCTCTTTTAAATATCTGCAGAACGTCTCGAATCAGGGCTGTCACTAGGGTGAAACAACTGGAGATTCCCTCCGGGTGGCCAAAATCGAAGACCAGTCCAAGGATGAATGTTAAGGAAATAAATAATTCTACCTCCTGGCCCAATTCACTTTCCTTTCCCGGCTAGTTCAGATCAAAGCTTGGAAAAGTTACTTTCGATACCTCCGACGCTCCGAATCCTCCAACCAGCAAAACTTAAAAGGGTAACTTTTTCAAACTCGGGTCCAGATCAAGTTGCGAAATGGGCCCTGCTTTGTGCCCTCGTCCCACTGTGGGGTTCTTGGTTCTCCTTTGTTTTAGTGGTGGTTTGCCCTTTGTTTCTCCCTTCTGTGTCACTGCCCTTAAACTCTGGAACTCCCTGTCTCAGATTAGCTCCATCTTTGCTGTCCTTCTGCAAACAGACGAGGACCTTTTTTCTTCAAGCAAGCTTTCCTTGAGGGACTGGCTGCCTAAGTAGGGTTTTTTAAAACTGTGGGGTTCTTGGTTCTCCTTTGTTTTAGTGGTGGTTTGCCCTTTGTTTCTCCCTTCTGTGTCACTGCCCTTAAACTCTGGAACTCCCTGTCTCAGATTAGCTCCATCTTTGCTGTCCTTCTGCAAACAGACGAGGACCTTTTTTCTTCAAGCAAGCTTTCCTTGAGGGACTGGCTGCCTAAGTAGGGTTTTTTAAATGGATGGTTCGGACCTTTTTTTCTTCAGGCAAGCTTTGCTTGAGGGACTGGCTGCCTAAGTAGGGTTTTTTAAATGGATGGTTCTGGTTTGTCACCAGTGTTCCATTTTTAAGCAAGCTAGTGGAGAGGGTGGTGGGTTCTGGTTTGTCACCAATGTTCCATTTTTAAGCAAACTAGTGGAGAGGGTGGTGGCTGGTCAGCTGCAGGCAGTCCTGGAGAAGACCCAATGCCTTGTAACCCATTCCAGTCTGGATTCATCTTCGCGCCACATCATGGCATGGAGATGGCATTGGTCGCCCTGCAAGATGACCTTTGGAGGGAGACCAGCAGGGGCAAAATGCCACTGCTGGTCCTCCTTAATCTCACAGCAGATCATGGTCTCCTCCTGAAAAGGCTGTCTGGGTTGGTTATCGGTGGCCAGACTTTGTCCTGGTTTCAGTCCTTCCCCAACGACCGTCCTTAAAGATGACAATTTGGGGAGGTGAGGTCCACCCCTTGGACTCTTAATTGTGGCCTCCTTCAGGGGTCAATCATCTCCCCACTGTTCTTCAGTATCTATATGAGGCCTCCGGTGGAGGTCATCAGGAGTTTTGGAGCTCTGTTGTCAGCAATACACAGATGATGCTCAGCTCTATCTCTTTCCATCCTTTTGCAGTGGATGCCGTCCCGTCCCTTGAGCACTGCCTGGACGCTGTGCTGGGATGGATGAGGGACAACAGACTGAGGTTGAACCCGGACAAAGTGGAGGTCCTGTGGGTGGCTGCCCCTAATGTCTGCCACTTGGGGACACCCCTCTCTTTTGGAGGGGCTACTCTCCCCACTAAAGATGAGCTTCCCATTCTGGGCATACTTTTGGACCCAGCACTATCAATGACATCGCAGGCAGCGTCTGTGGTCCGATCTGCTTATTTATATCTAAAGATGATTGCCCTACCTTGACACCGGGTTCTCTCACCACTGTGGTCCGTACAGACTCTCCCCACTAAAGATGAGCTTCCCATTCTGGGCATACTTTTGGACCCAGCGCTATCAATGACATCGCAGGCAGCGTCTGTGGTCCGATCTGCTTATTTCTATCTAAAGCTGATTGCCCTACCTTGACACGGGTTCTCTCACCACTGTGGTCCGTACAGTGGTAGTCTTGAGATTAGACTACTGTAAAGCTCCCTATGTGGGGTTTCCCATGAAGCTGCGATGGAAAATCCAGCAGGTCCAGAATATGGCAACCAGATTATTGAGTTAAGTCAATAAAGGCATCACATCTGCCCTATTCTGGCTCTCTTGTGATTGCCCTACCTTGACACGGGTTCTCTCACCACTGTGGTCCGTACAGTGGTAGTCTTGAGATTAGACTACTGTAAAGCTCCCTATGTGGGGTTTCCCATGAAGCTGCGATGGAAAATCCAGCAGGTCCAGAATATGGCAACCAGATTATTGAGTTAAGTCAATAAAGGCATCACATCTGCCCTATTCTGGCTCTCTTGCAGTGGGTACCTGTTCTTCTCCATTCCAGCTTCATTGTGATGATGCTTATACAGTATACAAGGCCCTAAATGGTTTGGGATTGAGACCTTGATACCTGGCAGAATGCCTTCTTCCAGTGAGATCTTCTTGACAGGTTTTCCCAGATATTACATAGTCAGAGCATAGAGATGCTGTCGGGGCTTAAGTTGTCTGTTCCGTCACCTTGTCTTTCTTAATTAGTTGATTTAATGTTGCTTTTTTCTTTTAAGTTGATCGATATGGTTAATTTGATGTTTGTATTGTTGTTATGTTGTGAATTTATTTAAAGTGTTAATTGTTGTTTTATCATGTTGTGAACCAACCAGAGTGGTCTTGTAGCCAGAATGGTGATGGTAGAGAAATTGAATGAATGAACTCACAAATGAATGAATAATTGTTGGTGTTGTGGTGAAATGACTGTATCACAGCCAAAACTCTGATAACAACCCAGGTTCAATCCCAAGTAACTGGCTCAAGGTTCACTCAGCCTTCTGTCCTTCCGAGGTTGGTAAACTGAGTTCCTAGCAGTCTGTACACACATGCCTTCTGTGTTTTTGTTGTGTGTACTGTATTTGGTTTGGCCTCTCCATTGATACTTATTAGGAGATGGATTCACTTTGGAGGTTTGGGGGCAAGAGAGATGTCATTGCTGCATTTTCCACCTCTCTGAGTGATCAGGATCTTCTGGACCAGTGTACATCATATTCTACCATTCTGTTGCAGAATCTCTTCACCATTTGCCCTTCTCTTCTCAGAGAGGAAGTCAGCGTGGTCCACAGCTAAAGAGACGGAATAAGCAATGCAGAAGGAAACCAAAGCAATACTTTAAGGAGTGTCACCTTGCTACAGAGTGGTAGAATTTACCAGATGGGCGGGATATAAATCAAATGAATAAATAAATACACAGTGCACTTCAGTACCCTTGTTGCTGCTCAATGAGCTCCAGCGCAGAGGGTTATGTGACAGCCCATGAATCTCTAGCTGTTCTGGAGAAAGTGGGAGTTGCTACTAGCTAGAGTTCAGTCAATGCAGCAGAGGAAATAAAAGGTGCAGGTGAAATGCCATAAGCCATAATAAGATCATTTTGATCACAGATCTATGAAATTAAACAGAGGGAAAAACAGATCATTGCAACGGTACTGTTCACATGCTAGAAGGCGATAAGGGCAGCAGTGTGGTATAGCTTTCTCCTCCCTATCCACAAATAATCACACGGCACTGTAACAACAAGCAAGTTCTATCTGGGATGGGCTGTGCTGGACGGCAGCTTCTGTCATCAGACACAAGAACTGCTCGGATCGCTCGGTGGTAGGAGTTCGGTTTCGCATGGAGCATCCTTGACGGTGGCTGGATTCAGTGATCTATAGCAGTGGTCCCCAACCTTGGGCCTCCAGATGTTCTCAGACTACAACTCCCAGAATCCTACACCACCACCTGTTCTGGCCAGGATTTCTGGGAGTTGAAGTCCAAGAACATCTGGAAGCCCAAGGTTGAGGACCACTGATCTATAGGGTCCCTTCCAGCCCTGCCGTTCTACGAGGATGATGATATGATTTATCTGATGAAATGGGTTGCAGTCTACGAAACAAAACAAAAAACCTGTTTCAGATCAAATGTGTGAGCCTTGAAGGGGCCGCTCAACTCTTGGCTGTGTTTGCTGACACAGCAACCCTGTGACCCGCTTCTTCGAAATCCTTCCAGCTACACGAACCCTTTTTGCTTCTTATTTTTATTAGCGCCGGTTATGGTTTTGATCTCATCCTGCGTTTGTTTCTTTTCTTTTGGTAGTACTGCTTGTCTGGGCATCCGACCGTACCATGCAACATTCTCAAGTTCAAATCTACCACCATCATGCTCGATTGTGGGCTGGATATGACCTCCACTCTCCACTTCCTCCCATTGCCTTTGGTCCAGAGGTATGCGCTAGCATCATGCATGTATGTGTGCATTCATGTATGTAATGTATATACCGTGTTTCCCCAAAAATAAGACAGAGTCTTGTATAGTATTAATTTTTGCTTGAAAAAACGCATTAGGGCTTATTTTCAGGGGATGTTCATTTTTTTCATGTACAGCCATCTACATTTATTCAAATACACTTCTGTCATCTTCTGATTGCTTCACAAGGATGGAGGGCAGGGTTTCACTTAACTAGGGCTTATTTTTGGGGTAGGGCTTATATGACGAGCATCCTGAAAAATCATGCTAGGGCTTATTTTCAGCTTTTTTCTCTTTTGGGGGGGAAACAGGGTATGCATCTATATATGTAATGTAATGTATGCATGTATGTATGTGCCATTTCTGCCTGGTTTTTACTTTCTGCTTCCTAAACTGCTTTTTGGGAAAGCAAAGGGGGGAGTTCCAGTGTATTTGGGGGATGATGGTATTGCTGGAAAAGGCCCAGGGATGGGTTACGGGAGAGGAAATTTCAGATGAACACACAGGACCATCTGATGGCATAAATAGACTTTGCCCACTTAAAAATTCCCTTTATCAAAATAACGTCCTTTGGCTCAGTAGATGGAAAACGTTTTATGGATTTATCGATTCAGTTTTCCAGATAATTTATTCTAAGCTCCAGTAAAGTATTGCAGCAGCAGCTCAGCACAAGTGAGGTCACAGATCTGTCATCTTTCTGGCTTCTTCATGCAAGAAGAGATAAATGGGAGGTAGATCTAAAATGTAGGCATGCCAGCCATTTATATATGTGTGTGTGTGTGTACACGCACACACTTATACACCCCCCTCCCTAGTTCACCATTTCTGTTGCAAGCTTTTCAATATAGTAAAGGGGTGCTAAGAATTCTGAAATCCTATATATTGGAGATCCTTTGCAAAAAGCCATGGAAACATCTGCCATTTCGGGTGCTCGAAAAGCAGATTAAGTTCAGCACAGAGACTGCCTCTGGAATTACGTGGTGGAAGAAAGGAGGGGGAATCACCGTGATAAATAAACGTGATGGATTCTGGGTAGGGCAAAGATGGGTGACTTCAGTAGACATGGGCACCCAGTTTTCAGCCGCCTGCTGTGAACCCCAGAAAGCCAGATCTGAGTGAAAAATGTCCATGAAATACAAATACAGTGGTGCCTTGCTTAACAATGTTAATTGGTTCCAAAAAACCCATCGCTATGGGAAACATCGTGAAGCGAAACACCATTTCCCATAGGAATGCATTGAAAACCGGTTAATCCGTTCCAATGGGAACGGATTAACGTCCTTAAGCGAAAATCCCCATAGGAAACATCGCTAAG